TACTAAGGTGCCCTATGCTATCTCTAGTAAGGGACTGGATAGATTAAAGATGCCCTGGCATTACCGATTGGCGTAAACCCCTGCAGTGATCCTATTGGTCCAGATAACAGGATATGTCTCGATAATACCTTTTTTTGGCAGCATTAACATCTAACCTATCATTTTTGCACAACTCCTTTTAGTCGAATGAAATCCTAACCTTATCTCTAAGGTGGATTAGGCCTAGTTACTACCTAGGACCCCTTGTTTATGTAGTTCCTCCCTAGTTTCTCTCGAACACTAAGGATAATTTGCCAAGGCATTCTCTCGAACCCTCAAGACCTCCTAAGGAAAGGCTACTCTCGTAGCTCCTACAACCTTAAGGCATTAAGTTTCATAAACAAAACAGGTTAAAGTATAGAAAAACAACCATTCATTGAAATATAAGCTTAAACATCCAAGCGAACTCCAACCAAATAAGATTAGTTCATGGTGGGGTTCGAAATAAACAAGCACAAAGCAAGTTTCATCCGTTCCTTACAACCCAATAACAAACTATGAAAGCAAAGAACAAAGGGGAGGAGAGAAAGCATTCGACGTGCACTGCCCAATACTTTTCTCGGCCACCAAGAACTGCTCCCAGCGAACTGGCTCCTCTCAGATGCTCAGGATGCCACTCCTTTAGGCTTGTCTAGGAGAAATGCCACAACAAGTAGGATTGACTGAGAAAAGTAAGACCTTTTCTCTCTAACTTTTAAGCTCAAATGGGCATGGGACCAAAAGCCATTTTCATTTTGGCTTCATCCTCTATATATAAGGAGAGAAAAACCCCTAGGAATTGGTGTTGAAATTCCTAGGATACCCCCAACTTTGCTTGATTCTCGTGATGATTGGTCAGTGGTCCAGCATCGGCAACTGGGCACCTGACATCTGCAGTTATTACCAATCCATTTTCATTTCTCGCTCTTGGTGAAATTGGGAGACAACTGCCTTCAAAAATATCTTCTCACACTTTGCTCGCTTTCGAAATGCCAATCCAACTCGACATTTTCGTTATGCTCAGCAATCTCCTTATGTCACAACATTTCCCTTTCTCCTTTCCTTGCTCTCAATTCCTGCACATCATTAGACAAACACATTCCCAATAAGGCAGCACTGATGATGAATTAGAATGGCGCGACAAACTGAATTCAACCACATGCAACTAAATAATTCTAAATGCATCTACATGGTCCTAAATGAGCTCTTAGACATTCAATAACTTAAGTGAAAAAGGTCCTAAAATATGACCTTTTTTACGGAGTTATCAGTGTTACATGTTGCTTCTGAAGCTTAGGGGTCATGGTGACAAGCATTAGACATCCTATGTCCAACATGTTATCCATGTGTTTCTTATACTTGTCCTTTCAACTCTAGAAGCAGTAGTTGTCAATTGACCAAGAACATGTTCTTCAATGGCATATTCCTTCCGTTCTTATTTGAGAACAAGTCTCAAATTACGGAACCAGTCAAGGAAGTTCAATCCATTCAGCTTATCCTTCTCAAGGATCGATTACAGTGATAATGTGTCATTGTTTTCTATTATATCTACAACAATGGAAATATATAAAGTAAGTAAATTTACCGAGTTTAAAATTTTATAAAAGGTCCTTACTAATAAATTACTCCCACTATTTCATTCAAAATTAAAAATCCTCACATTTTAATTTCAGAAAAACTTCTCGACAATTTTTCTAGTGAGTAAGGATCCATATTTCATCATTTCCAAAGTCATCTTTGGCTTTTCTCTTAAGAAAATGGTTATTTAGGTAAGCAACACTTTTCTAATTACATTTCACGTAACTCCTCTATTTTGTGAAATACTTTTGTCCAAATCATCTCATGATTTATCCAAATTACTAACCTCTAGGTTTCTAATCCTATTAGAATAACCTAACTAAGTTATTACCAATATTTCAATAAGCGAATATCACTTGCTTATTTTTCGTGTTTAACCTAGATAAATTTACACACAATGCTTTGAAAAACCCATATAATATCGATCGAGGTTTTAGCGAGGGTAAATATTAGATGGTTAAATTAACTTAGATTTTATAGAAGGGTTTTCATTATTATCTCGTCAATGTTCCTATTATTATTAGGCCCTTATTGATCTCATCAATTTACTAGCATGCTAACATATCATTCATTGCATCACATACATGATAGATATAAAGCATGAAATATAATGCAATAGTTATAGCCCAAAAAGAAAAACTAAGGTGGCTCATCCCAAGCTAATGGGAGAACCATAAATCCTAAAGATAAAGATAGTTTCTTAAGCATCTTCTCGCTTTAGTCAGTCAATTCTTCTATTTCTTCAAATCTTCATAGAATTACAATTTAAAAAACTCATTTTACATGCGAGGGAATAAGATGAGAAGAGAACTACAATAGAAGTATAGAAAGGCACAACACACATGCCCTATTTAAAATTTACAACCATTACAAATGAATGACTATAACCATGCATATCAAACATCGTGCATATCAAACATGTGATACATATATCATTTATGGATTTATTAATAATAACTGATATTGAGCCTACAACCTTTGTTGCCTATGTAGGGGTCTAGGGGCAGAGCCCCTTGCGAGGGTCTGACGGCCTCACAGTCGCCAAACCCCCGATTTGTTAACATGTATCAACAAAATTATGTTTTTGGGATTTTAATCCCGAAGGCTTTTTCCACAGAAACAACCATTGTTCCACTGCCGAAAACAACATGTTATCATACTCGCACATTCCCCATGTTAACAATTAACATACAGACATCAAAACCTTGCGTCAACAGTAACAAACATATGATTAACATTTAATCAGCGATTGTAATCATTTATTTAATTTGAATTAGTCGCGACTGGAATCAAAATGTTTTCGCACAAATATCATATACTCGTCGAATAAGCAGTAAAAACAAAACATATATCTCATACAATCGCATCAACCAATTATTCAACCGAATTCGTATCATACAAGTAGCTCTGATGCCATTGTTGTGATCGACTGTACACCCCATGACACAGCAAAAAAAATCCAACAATCCCACCAAGGATCCATGTATGGAAAACCGGATTAGGGAGGAAGAGATGTATGATTTACCTTGGATTCATGGAATAACAATAGTGTAGCAATCCAGTCACGAACATGTGCGAATCCTAAGCCTCCACGAAATTCTCGGCCTCTACTCAGTTCACTCGGTTGAGAGCAAAGTTTTTCTCTTTGCTTAAAAGCTGTTTTTAGAAATTTTGGCTAAAGGAATAAACGACTGCTAGACCATCATAAACCCTATATACTGCTATTTCCCTAACCCTGAGCATTTTTACAAATTATTAATAAAATAAAATAATTAAATTAATTATATTCCTTTTGACATTTATTCAACATATCTGGGATAATTAAAATTACACACACACACATATATTAATCTTAATTATACATTTTAATTCAAGTGCAATCAAATTTCACATATCTCGTTTGGTATTTGCTCATTTCAACCCTAAGGTGTGACCCTGTAGGTTCCTGTAATATTAGTAGTAATTATTAGACACATTCTAAAATTACAAACAATGAGTGACATCTAGCAATGTATCATTGTCACCTAAATTACAAGAAGTCATGATTCGACATAACATCTTCATGACTAACTTCTTTATGTATTATATCATTTTTTACTTTATATCTAGAGTAGGCACAAGTTCTGGAACAGTCACACTTGTACAACCTACCTAATATTTCTTGATATCTAGAGTAGACTATTATAAATGAACAACTTATGATTTTTCATATCAATCTGTTCGAGCATGGCCATGCATTTTTAGTCTCACTCAATCAAGTGGCCAATGATATAACTTTTATTATGCAGAAAGGAAAAATCCTATCTTGATCATTCACATCCCACTACATATATCGTGATGTGTTCAACATCAATTTTTATAGTTTAACCAGTTACGACGCATGTTTAACTATATCAAAACACGTGACAATATATGTTGAGATAATAATGATCTCAAGTCTGAGGATCATACATGTATTCACCACCATAAGTAATATTGTGACCGTCACATAATAATCCAAGACATATACTCATAGCGGGTCAATCCAATATGTCGTTCTCTAACTACATACTCATATATCGATTTTGACATCTGTATGTCAATGATAACTCATTGTCATCAACCAACTATATGTTGTCCTTGAACATGTTATTATTGTACATGCCCATACTAATACTTGGCTAAGGATCTTTTAATAACAATTATTTGGACTTCATCATCTTCAGTTTATATAAAACATAGAATAATAAATGAAAATAATAATGACAATGCCTTTATTCAATAAACACGGTAAAGAAAGTATATTGGTACAATCATCTCATGATTGGTCTTTGGGCTCTCTAGGAAAAAAATTGACCCCCATCCATCCTTTAATCCCTTTACGCCATACAAATGTAATCGTCGGACCAAGTCAAGGATTTTTTTTCTCAAAGATTTCCTCAATCTTTGACTGGGTATGGTGGAGCATCCATCCCTCATTCATGATGCAGACTGATCTTTTGATACAACCCAAAAGACCACCTTTTTTTTGGACCCAATCTTAAAGAAAAATCCTCGATAACATCCTTGGCATCATAAGCAAGCTCTCTGATTTCAACAACCCAAAGATGAATCCTCTCATCCTCATACTATTTAACATCGACCTCCATCATTGAGCTTCGCATCCACTTGAGCTCAGTTTGCAAATGATCAACTTGTTTTTCCATGCCCCATATGTACTTTTCTTCTTTGGTTAGCATCACTGCATGCGACACGACTTGAATCCAATCTTGGATTCCATGCACAATGCATTTTTGCAAGAGTTATTTATATATGTCTTAACATTCATACATTGGGTCGTCATCAGCTTGACTTATAGAGGTGATGTCATTTTTTTATTCTGTCGTTCATATTAGGTGGATTACATTACAGCAAAAAGCTTCGACGTAAATCTGCCCACGATTCTAATGATTCATATGGTACATCATTCAACCAAGTTCTTACCATATCTCTTAGTGAATAAGAGAGTAAATTCAACTTCGGGACATCTTCATGAACGTCTTACTCAAAAATTAATGACCATTTATGTAGTTTACAATTATTCTTTTTGATATCAACTAAATATAAGATAAATATAAAACATGATCAAATGATTAGGGTGTGCTCAGTTTCAAGTATTAAGTTTGATTTCTCTCATAATTATTATTCTACAATTTTTTTCTAGCTAGATTATAAAACATAAGTGACATAGTTAATGGTCATCTATAACATATTTTAAAAACATTTATTTTTAAAATAATTTCATATTCCTTGAATCTAACAAAATTAAGGGAGTTATTAAAGGTGAAAACAAGTCGGATAATTAAACCGACCCAAGTATTTGGTCGAGGACAGGTGGCGTGACAGACGGTGAAAGTGAGTAGGGCCAAACCACAACACAAAATTCAAAGTTCAAACCTTAATGCTGCAATTTCCTTTGTTGCCTAATTTTTTTTCTTCTGACGGTCCAACGCGCTAAAACTCCTTTATAAAACGCTTTCTCACAAACAAATTCAAGCACCGAAGAAACTCTCAAACTTCTTCGTTGTTACATCTATAGCTCCGCCTCGCTCGCTTCTTCTAAATTCTCTCCGCTATGAAGCCGCAGCGTGGTCCCAAGAAGATCTCCCTTAAATGGATCCCATTTATCTGCATCTCCTTCTTTACTCTCGGAATCCTCTTCAGTAACAGGTCTCTCTTTCTTTTTCAGTTATTTCTTCGCAGTTCTTTAGTTAGATCGATTGATGAACTGGGTTCGTTGTTTTTTCCCCTTTAATTCTTGTGATGGGGTTTATTTTTTATTTATATCTGACCATTGGATTTTGATTACAGGCTATGGGTCCCACCTGAATCCAACGGTCAACTTTTATCCCAACGTCGACGGGAACAGGAGTTGCAGATTTTCTCCGATGATTGCGGTACTAGGAAAGTATGTTTTTGAATTCACCATCACAGTTAAACTTCCGTTTTTCTTAAAGCAAAAATTATATTTCTAACAGAAAGATTTTACTATGTTTACACAGACGCCTGAACAACATAATGATGTTACAGGTGAAGTTTTGAAAACCCATGAAGCAATTCAGTGAGTACAAACTTGGGTTCTCTTTATTTTAGTTAAATATTGTTTTTTTTTCAAGTTTAGCTAATTTCATTGTAATTTATGATCTTTCATGAGGCCTTACAGATCTCTAGACAAGTCGGTTGCAATGCTAGAGATGCAGTTAGCTGCCTCACGTAGTTCTCAAGAAATAGAGAATTCGGATGCCTCCAGAGTTGTTTCAACCTTGGGTCGAGATCGACCGAGGAAGAAAGTGTTCATGGTCATTGGAATCAACACTGCTTTTAGTAGTAGGAGGCGGCGTGATTCTGTCCGGGAGACTTGGATGCCACAAGGTTTCTTAGTTTCCTCAGCTTTTTTTTTTGAGGTTTAGATATTGATTAGTTTCCTAGCATTTATCATCTCAAATTAATTCCTTTGTTTATGATTGATCAGGGGAAAAGCTTATTCAGTTGGAGCGTGAGAAGGGGATTGTCATTCGCTTCATGATCGGCCATAGGTAAATCATTTTAAAGCAAGAGAAAACTTAAGATCCAATTGTTATTTTTGATTCATATGCACATTTCTTGACACAAACCTTAGGGAGACTGTATTTGATATTGATCGGTTGGCAATGTTAAGCAAATGTCATTGTTACGATGTGGTCAATCTGGGTTGAACATTACTAAAGAAAACATTTTAACTGACATAAGTTGTATCTGCATTGTTTGTACCAGTGCAACATCCAACAGCATTTTAGATCGAGCTATTGATTCAGAGGACGCTCAGCATAAGGACTTCCTTAGACTGGTTAGATAGCATTCCTGCAATAGTTTTGGATATTCTTAGGTATTTCGGCATTTCTTACCAATATCCAGTTTCAATCTTATAAAACAGGAGCATGTTGAAGGATATCATGAGTTATCCGCAAAAACAAAAATTTTCTTTTCTACTGCAGTTGCAAAATGGGATGCTGAGTTTTATGTCAAGGTGGATGATGATGTCCATGTTAATCTTGGTTGGTTTCCGTCTCTTTCGTTTCTCTTTTGATAATCATAAACATTTTACCACATCATCATAATGGTGAAGAACAAATATTGGTTGTTTCGTACGTTTAATTTCTCATGCATATTTTCTAATAGGTATGCTAGCTACAACCCTTGGCCGTCACCGTTCCAAGCCCAGAGTCTACATAGGGTGCATGAAATCTGGACCTGTTCTTTCTCAAAAGTAATTCTCAGTGACCTTTTTATCGTTCATAATTCAACTTTTCAATTTGTTTTGTTCCCCCAAATTTCTTATGCGACTTTTGTTTCATTTGTTTGTGTTTGTTAGGAATGTCAAGTACCAGGAACCAGAGCATTGGAAATTCGGAGAAGAGGGGAACAAATACTTTCGACATGCAACAGGGCAGATATACGCAATTTCAAAGGATCTGGCAACCTACATCTCCATAAACCAGTAAGAACTTTGTTTTTTGCCTTTAAGTAGTCTGTGTTTTGTTTATTTATTACTTTGCCTAATGGAGGGTTCCGGTTTTGTTATCACGGTCCTTATTCGTCTGTGGTTGGCAATGCCTTACAGTCATCCCTTTGACTTAAGTTTTCTTTTTGGTTTTTATCTCAGTTCAATCAAGTAGCCCAGTGTTTTTCATTTGAGCATCAATTTTTTTTATTATCTTGTATTAATTCTGTTAAAATTTGGACATCAGTCAAGCCCTTAAAGTGTAAATCTAAATGAAAATTCCCAAGATCATTAAATTGCTGATCAAATTTATATCCGTGGCCTTTATGGTTAAATCAAACTAGTGAAATTCATTTTCCATATGCTAATGATAATGTCTGAAAAAGGCATCACTAATGTTCCAATTGATTCTGACTGATTGCAGGCCTATTTTGCACAAGTTTGCTAATGAAGACGTGTCCCTCGGGTCCTGGTTTATCGGACTTGAGGTTAAGCACATAGATGATAGGAATATGTGCTGTGGGACTCCACCGGGTAATTCTTTAAACTTGTATCGAACTCCCATGAGGACCGATAAATGGAAAACAGAAATGTCTAAAAGATCTGTACACAAAAAACTCTCACCTCAATGCTTAATATTAGTTCATTTGGATTTCGTTAATGCTTAGAACTCTTTGCTATTTTGTTCTTCCCTTCTTAACCCCTTGTTTGCTTCCTGTTCTGCAGATTGCGAATGGAAGGCACAAGCAGGTAATGTCTGTGTTGCATCCTTTGACTGGAGCTGCAGTGGAATCTGCAAATCTGTGGATAGGATCAAAATTGTTCATGAAAGGTGTGGTGAAGGAGATGATGCGGTTTGGAATACATTAAATTAATTTGGCAAAAACTCGTCTTGCGGCAAACGAGGTTTAACATTCATGGTTTCATGATCAAGAAGCAGAGTTTGGCCAACGAGGTAGGACGAAGCACTGCATCTGGTTTCAATACATATCTGCAAACACATCTCCCTCAAATTTTGCTTGAAATCTTCTAGGAAAATGGAGATAAAAGACAAAAATCAACATTTAGATAGGGAGCTGTTTAATCGGAAAAGCTTGTTTATTATGTAGTAGCATTTCAACATATATTCCCGTTCTTTTTATTGTGATTGTATTCTATGCTTGTAAAATAGTGTGTTAGTTATATACGGTGATCAATACTACTGTTATTTATAGAAGCACACAGTTGAGAACTTTAGATGTGTGCATTTCCGAGTATGGTGTTAGCTGTAACAATATACTTGTCTAATGACGTCCATTTTTGTGGATGCATGTTATATTTTTAGCAGTTGATTGTTGTTCCTAGAGGTTTCAGGTTCGAGTATTAGCATCTATAGAGATGTTTGAGCATTTGTTGTTAAATGATTTATAATCTTTGAAACATATATCATCTTAGTTTAATAAAAAATATATATATACGCATATTGCGCTTGGTTGTTTTGTCTGTTTTATCATCAAGGATAAATTAATTATTAGGATGTTTCCGTTTCCATTTTGTCACCCAAGAGAAATTGATTTTTTTAATTAAATATAGATTTTTTTTTAATTAAATAGAGAGACATTTATATTCATAATATAAATGTAAGGATTTGAATCTGTATAAGATAATAAAAACATTATTATACTTCAGCCAACTAATGGATCTTTCAGAGAAATTAAAATTTTAGCACCTTTATAGAGTACTTCTTAATTGGTTTAATAATAAATTTTAATTGAACTGGGAAAAAAAAGAATTTGCAAAATATATGCACGGTCAGAAATCAAATTTAATTATTTTTACCTAAAATTTAATTATAATTTCATTACTGTAATAAAAGTGACATGGGTTTAAGAATCCAAGCCGTAGTGTCACACCCTTGGAATTTCACTCTCGAGCGCAAGGTCTTAGATGCTTTTTGAGTGATTGTGATCAAGTAAACGTGAAAACAACTCAGGCAAAAGAGCTTAAATTGGAACAGAGACAAAAAATTTGAAAGGAAAATGGCTAGCAGAAAGATAAGAAGAGAAATGAAAGAATGAATAAATGATCTTGAGGCGTGACTTTAAGGTTTACTTAGACACGCAACCGACCAAGAATCGTCCTGAAGCATTTAAGGCTATAAATCTCGTCAGACTGAAAATCCGTGACATCGTGAATGCAATTTTTGATGGTAGTATGAACAAAACAAATTGAATAATTAGATGAATTAAAGGATACATAAAATATATACTTAAATAGATAATGTTCAATGAAAGAATCTTGTCCTAACGTAATGTTAGCTTCAAATTTAATGCAGAAGGCTGAATTTGAGCTGAATTTAGCAGTATGTTAGGAATTTGTAGGTGTATATATAAAGTAATATTTAATGTGATTTGATTATGTTGTCTACATTCATGAATGAATGAGAGAAATACATTACAATAGTAGAGATTACATAAACTTTAAACATTCTAATAGAGTTGGTTCAAGTGGTAAGCAACTTAATATCGTTTGAAAAAAATTCATTTCTTTTTATCTTACAAACACGATGTTCTACCTAACTCTTCCTCATAGTTTTACAAATTATATTTCTCATACAGAGATCACATACAAATTATTAAAGGTGGACAAAACTTAATTCGACATGATATCTCTTTTAAATTTTGAGTTATTCAAGTCAATTCGAAGTTTTGATTAAGATTTTGAGTTTAATTCTAGTTTGAATTTAAAAAGTTCTAATAATGAAATATAAAAAAATTAAAATGATGTTTTGATATTTAGCTAAGTAATTTGATTATTTTATGATTTTGATCTCTAATTTCCTTGTGTTTTTAGTTCTTCTTTTCATTTGTTTTAAGTCTATGAAGGGAATGTCTTTATGAATGTTACTGGGTTATTTTGATGTTGGTCATCATTCTTAAGGGAATGTTTCGCTTTTTTTTTTCTTCGTATTTTTGGCTTAATATTTTTATTTTTGTATGAGTTTTTTGGTGACTATTGTCCCTATTTTTCTCTCTATGTTTGAGTGTGTTATAATTCTTATTCCTCTCATTGTTTTTATTAAAGAAATCCAGTTGTCATTGTTCAAAAATAACATTATAAACCATGCATACACATATGAAAAAACATATATGCATATCTTATATGGTTAGCAAGATTCAATTCAATTAGAAAATAGTATCATAATATTATAATAAGACATTTCAATTTGAACCGAAATTTGAAAAAAAATAATTTTTATTTAATTCGATTTGAATTTCATGTACTCAACTTAATTAAGAAATTCAAATAAAATTTGAGTAATAAAATGGTAGTCGTAAACTCGATTAACTTAAAATTTTTCAATTGACTCAAATATTCAATTGACTCGATAGAATACTCACATATCGAGATTTACAACTATTTCATAATTTCAAAGGTTAAATATCAAATTTATATTTATTGAGCCTATTACTTGGTTATAAAAAATTTCTTTGTAACACCCTGCCAATCCAATTGTTACAAACGAATAGAAGACATTACGTTCGTGAATCAAAGTGAAAATCGGAATATATTTTAAAAACTTTCACTTACAAAATGCACTTAAGCATATAAGGGTATTTAAGTAATGTTAACACTACTTTATATCATTTGATCAAGCCTCATCATGAAATATCAAGCTGAGTTCCGATCGATGCTAAAAAAGTGTATAGATAGTTTCAAACGGTAATAATTTATTTTAATAAAATAAACTTTTAAAGAAATAATAAAGTTTAGTTTAAAAAAAGCATCAAAATGTGTAAGTTTCTTTAACCATATACTCACCTATACACTCGATAAGAACTTTTTGCATATAGTATAAGGACTTGTCATAAGGAGTTACACTATGCACAAAGCAAAGAAGCATGGGACAAGGTCTTACAAGTCATAGACTATGTTTAAAATATTTCCTCCAACAATAACTCCCATGACAATAATAAAATAAATGTTTTTAAAAACAAACAATGATTTAATTTATTAAAACCGAAAAATATTTTATGATCCAAAAACATGTTCATTTATCATATAAATAACGGTAACCATAGATCATGTCATCAAAATGCATATCAGAAAATTTTAGAGTGATTCATATACGTAAATCAGAATGAAAATATAACACCATCAGGAAAACATTATAAGGTCTATTTATTTCTCGGAGGTACTTGATAATTATAAACATGAAACTACTGTTAATTTCAAACTGACTTAAAAAACGAGATTCCTATTTAAAGGGATTCGATAACTGACGGATCCACCTAGGCATTCATAAATTGATACATCGAGATCAGTTAGGATTCAAATATATTAAGAGTAATCCCATCATTTAGGACTATATGTGCATTTTAGTCATTTTGAATTCATAAGAAAATTTGGTAAATCAACCTAATAAGGGTAAATGATGATTTTATAATATTCAAGATTTCTAACGACTTATCATGCTTTCAAGTGCAATCAAACAAAAAAAATCGTGACACTATGGTACTTACCAAGCATTCAAACATGGACATTTGATGAATATTGGTTTCTTAGTACCAACTGCATTATATAGTTGAACAAATCACCTTCAATAATCATCACTGAGCATATCCTGATGAGACCACTACTAGAAAAAAAACCCTTCTATGGGTGCAGATGACACACAAATACGCGTCATTGAAGCCACCGTCATAAATCTCAGATGACACGCAATTGTGTGCCATAAATCTATGACGCGCATTTATGACATGCATTTATGACGCGCATTGCGTGTCATTGAAGCCCCCTTCATAAATGAAGATGACACACATTTGTGTGTCATAAATTTATGACACGCATTTATGACTTACATTTACGACTTACATTACATGTCATTGAAGCACACGTCATTAAAAAGGATGACACACATTCGTGTGTCGTGATTGTATGTCGTAAATTATACATATATATATATATATATATTGTAGATTGACAAATAATCAAACTAAATCACATTTAATGCCTCATAATACTAAATATATATATCATATTAGCAATCCATTTGCATACAATATATTAACATTAAGTTATCAAAAATATTGTAATCATATGTCGATACAAAATATCACGACATAATAAAGTTTACCACATAAGATACACATTCTTTACGAATATCATCAATGTCATCATCCGTGTATTCTTCCTTCCCATCGCCAACCTAAGTAAAAAAATATGAAATAAGTATATATATAATTTATACTTATTTAAAGTGAAGTATATAACTATCAAAGAGTACTAAAATGACCAATTTTACATATTCTTCTTTGAAGCATATGTAAAAATAAATTTTACACATTTAATTAGTAAAACTTCCCATATAAATTATATACATTATCACGGCATGAATTCACAGTTTTCAGTATTGCTAACAAGTACTTGCATTAATTTGTTTAGAATAGCATCCTACTTCAAGTCTATATGATAGTTGTATGACTAATGTGTATGTATGATATGACAAATGTGTACAAAAAACGTTTGCTTACATTCTTATTGATCAGCACTTTAAGTCCGTTCTCGACTATCTCTTTCATGAACTTACAAACATAACATCCACACTCGGTACCTCCCGACTGACGGGGACACTACAAACAGTTTACAATAAACGATTAGTTAAAATGAAAGCTGCAATTTAAAAAACAAATGATCGATCGAAGTCCTCACCAAAACATTGATCCAATTGAGGCTAACCCTTTTGTTAGATACACATTGAGCAGTGTACAATATCATTTCCCTATAAAAATTGATGAAATATATCAAAGAATATACTATAATGTTTTGATAATTTATGTTACTTACGCATCAATAATCTGCTTCAACTGCTGATGGACATTGGTGGGCCCCAAGGAATCAAGATAATAACAACTTGTTGCTTTCATATTTATCACCGCCAATACCCAATGTCTTCTATAAAAACCAAAAACCAAATTAAGTTACTAAAATATATTGATAATCAAATGAAAAAACAAACCTGGGATTATATAGGCTGACATTTAGATCTCCGGTATGTGTTGCTTCAAACAAAGCTCAAGAACATGGTTCAATAGCTTAGTACCTGCATAAATTCAAGATTTAAGTAAAAATTTCAGACAAATGGAAAAACCAATGATACATGGTTTTTAACAAACTATGG